ATTAAAACTATTTCTTTTATTATTACTTAGCAACAAAACTAATATAATTCATAAATGAGAAAATATTTATCCATACGTAGAAGTTGGTTGGTTTTATTGATGATTTGAATGAACTATCATTACTTTTAAGATAATCTATTTGAAGTACAACAACTTTAAAAAAATATCACACTTTAATTTATTTATTATATAAGCTCAATAATGAAGGCTCCTAGTTCCTTTTGAAATTTTAATTTCCGACAAAACAAAATTACTTATAGAAAATTATCAATCCATTATAGTGACATGTATTTACAATTGATTGAACACTGGGTGATGATCAATGTTGTGTGTGTCAGGTCATTCTTAGTGCAGATCGAACACTATCGACCAAGTTGCAATGTGGCCCCTAGTTTAGGTGACTCGACATTGCGTAAACTATGTTGAGATAAGATGGTGGTTGGAGGTAGTCTACAGGAAACACTGGACCTAGGTTACGTGCTACTTGGCACTCGTCAGCAAGGTGTGTCCGTAATCTTGAGGGAACTGATGCTCCCTGACGGGTTCGATCTGATGTTACCCAGCGCCACTGGGTGGCGATCGATCAACTTTACATGCATCTCAGTCCTGCAGGTGGTCAGTCGTTTATCGGATGGCTCAGTGGTAACATCTTTGACTGTGAAGCTGGGTGATAAGGTGTCGAATCCGTCAGGGAGCATCAGTTCCCTCAAGATTACGGGCACACCTTGCTGACGAGTGCCAAGTAGCACGAAGCTTAGGTTCAGGGTTTCCCGTTGAGTACCTCTAACAACCATTTTACAGTGACATGTATATTAAGTAATTTTAGAAACGGCAAAAATGAAGACATTTTCTCTTTATTTGTGACACTATGTGCAACCACATTTATATTCAATATCTATAGTTTATCTGAATCAATTGTGAACGGATATTAATTAATTAGGTGATGAATATATATGCTACCTTCGTTACTCAGATAAATTCTATCTACGTCAATCATTTCTCTGTTTTATTGGCCACGGCCTGTGATTGAAGATTATAAGTATTATAACAGCATTTTAGTTTTCTCTACACTAAGTGGGACTCTTGAGCTGGATTATAATTTGATAAAGCTTTCGAGTTTATATTCCACTTCATGCCGTCGGTACCACCCATGCAGGACATTTGTTAACTAAGTTAACTGCACTTGTGGTGGTTATCTCAGAAACAGCTTTCAAATACTATTCATTGAGTAACAATTGTTATCCCTTTTTTAATATACCATATTGTTGTGAATGCTATTTGTTACCTATTTTTATTCATAGACAGTCATTTCGGTTTATAGTATTATATTTCCAAGTATATTATTAATTTTGTGTATTGCTATGTCTTGAATAAGTTCTTTTACTGGGTCGATTACACCAAAAAACAAGTATATTAAGTAATAATTTCGTAGATAGCAAATAATCATGTCAGACGACCTTGGTTTTTTGCCGAAATCGACTATATTAATTAAAATACTCCAACTGTTGATCAAGCGAAAGTAACTTCTTTTGAAAGAAAAAATTATATATATATATATATATATATATATATATATATATATATATATATATATATAGAGAGAGAGAGAGAGAGAGAGAGTGAGAGAGACTCGATTAGGTTCGCAGCTTTATGCTTGTACTTGAAAAACGGAAACCACTACAATTCCTCGATCCTACTACATATACTTTAAGACGGGAACCACTGCAATTCCCACGACGCAAAGTAACAATACAAAAGATTAGTGCAATGAAAATTTACTTACTGCAAAAACAAGTCCCCAAATCATGTTGTCATTACACCAAAATACATTAACTTGTATACAAATTTTCACACATTATAAGAGCTATATATAGTACTGTAGAAATATTCATCGAATGCAGTTCATCTGAATTGATAGAGGGGATATAATTGTCACAGTGAATGACGTTCATAATTGTCACCCTGGCCAAAATGTATAATGAATTGACAGAAAATACTTACTTAAATAATCTTATCTTATCCCGTTATATCAAGTTCAAAAGGAAAATTTTACTAATTTAAGAATTTTTAAATTAATTCATAAAATTTTCACAAATTCATTTACTATTATCGTCAATTATTAGTTAAACAATGTCTTAAACATGTATTTATACTTGTATTGAATGATTTTACAATTACTCACGTGACAGACTTATGTACTTTTAATGACGATAAGCACCAGCAGCAACTTGAATCAATTATAACATTGACTAATTGCAAAACGGTGGCTCATTGCTCAAGACATTCAACTTTGGTTTAAGTAACCGAGTAATATTACTATTAGCCTTCACACTTATATTGTAACACGAAGTTATAACTGATAAATAGTTTACATAAACTTATTATCAATGTTGTTGGTCGATATTAACTTAAGCATTCTAATCCCAGTTTCCACTTAACTTAAACCTAAAATGACAGGTAAAAGGAATGTTAAATGAAATATAGAAAACAAAATTTGACAACTGCAGTGAAAATTTAAAAGTTGTTTCTCATTATAAGCCTTTGGTAAACAATGCCATAGGAAAAGGAAATATAGGATAAAAAAGTGACATCCGTGAATCTTAGTTGTTTCTCGTGAAAGCAAATGTATTTAGTTTTATTAAGTTGTCATACATATATATACCAAGGTATTTCTCCAGTTTTTCATGTGATGCAAGATGTCATTCATTCCTGAAATTTGCTTGTAAAATAAGGCTACATTAGAATATCTTGATGAAGCTATTAATGGAGTCCTTTTTTTACTTCACACTTAATATAGATATTAGATAAAACCACTAAGAGATTATATCTCTAGGAGGTAATAGCGTATTTAAAGTTGCAAAATAGTTGTATTCTTGACAACTAATTTGCAACTTTAAATACGCTATTACCTCCTAGAGATAGTTGTCAAGAGTAGGCCCCCAAATGCCCTGTTACGGCCGAGAGTGGGGCGAGTTCGCTCTCCCTCTCGAAATGCTCTCAAATGGCCACGCGTATATAGCCTCTGCCAGGGAAGTCCTACTCACTGCCTTCTCGTGACGGGGGTGTTGTTTACAAAAATGAGAGGACGAAAAGCGAATGACCGGCGCTTTAACCGGATCCCAAACCAATGGTGCACATAGGCTCCAGTATCCTGAAGGAACAAATGGCGTATGAACCAATCGTTGGTCACTGGCTACCATGGGACTGCATCTCCTTACGATGCTCCACTGCCTTGTGGATCAGATCTTCAGCTCGGGGTGTGGCCCCCTAAGAAAACCACCTGCTTCGGTTTGGGCACCCGGCCAGTATCACAGCCCTCCCACAAATCAATTGAGATTTGTGTGGCGCATATGTATTTGGTGCCTCCTTGTACCAATACCTATGTGTTAAAATAAATAAAATGTCAAGAATACGAATGTCATCTTAAAAGAGTTACCCAATAATTCCCTACCCTCACGGCTCGCATATCATTTTTGTTGCGTGATATAAGAAAATTGAATACATTATAATTTCTGTTTCAACAAGCATTCTTAAAAGCTAGGAAACAGTTGGTTTCACACAAATAAATCTATAGAACCTAATAGAACACAGATTTTAATAGTGTGCCAGAAATAAGTTACCATCAAATATTCATGTGAATACATAATCTCGTCATAATTAGTATTCACTAACCAACAGTGGGGAGCACTAAATCGAATGTTTTAATTTGTTCAAATAAATGGATTGAACAGAATAAATACATATTATTAGTATAGAGGATTAGTGGTTACAGAATTTTCACTTTAAATCACAAACTGATCTTGGATAGACCACCATGGAAATATCATATATATTAGGGAAATCAATACTCAACAGGTTTGCGAAAAAAACCAAACGAACTTTTATGAACGTCAAGTGAGAAAATACTATTACAAAGTTTTTTGAGTATTTTGATCGCTTCATCTTATATTTGTTCTTCGTAACACTTCAGCGTTCAATAAATTTTGAGCACGAAATATTTAAACTATTTTTTTGTGAAAATTCTTTTTGAATAAAATTTACGTTCGGCACACTATTATATTAAAATTTTCCACTGACTAACAAGCTTATGGATGCCGACGCTATTATTGTACATCTCTTTTAAATATGATAAGACAAAGATGACAATTAAAAAGGCGATTGAATATCACTATTAACCAGACGTTTTATTTGCTTGCATAAAAAATATAAATTTTAGAAATCTATAGCTATTTGGAAGTTATCTTCACTTGATAAACGATTTCAGTTACACTTACTCTTAAAGTAGAATGTGAGTATAACTACTTACTTATTAGCTCCTACTGAGAGAAAAAATATGACAAGATCGTTATTGGAATTTCTGCATTAATTCCTCACTGGTGATTACGTCAGTAGTAATCCCTGGAAGATCAATGGTGATTTCAACCAGCCTACGTATACGGCTACTAATGTGTCTAAATGTAAAATATCTGTCCCCTAGTATTCTATGTAGTTCTTACATCAGACAAACATGGGATAGATGAGAGTTCTTATCAATGCAGATTTACGATCTCATGAAGCATCGAATACATGACAATCACGTCTGGCCACGAGCCCCTAACCTACAGACATCCTATTGGTTCATTCTCTAAGCTTCAGTCAATTCATAATACTGTGCAACTAATATTCATTGCATATGTACTTCATTGCCTGTGCATAGTCGGTAAGCACTGGTTTACCATGAGGAAAGTTGGTACGGTTTTTGGCAATTCGTAAGTACGAAGCTACGTAAGATCTAAGTTTAGACTGTATTATTTAATTTAGAATCAGATAACCAGAAAGATGTGATGCTTAATAGGAATTTAAGTAAATCTTTTACGAGTATGGTCGTAGAATTCTACTGGAAACAATTTTGGATGATAAGGTTGATTTATATTGTTACGAAAATATTTAGAAAACGCGAATGAACAAGAACCGCTTGTCTACACAGAAATTTGTGCAGTATTATTACTTAGAATAATTCGTTACGAAAAATATTTTTATTAGATGGTAAGAAGTTGGTCAAGTCAAAAACAAACATATATCTCACTAACCATAAATATATATAATAAAAAAGGCTGGTTGCCTACGCAATTTTGAGGAAAACATTACACATCGAAAAATATGCCTTCCAACTGTTATTTTTTAGCAAAATAATAAAAAGGAATGTTTATCCAAAACATTTCTCGCATTGTAAAGAACAAAACAAAAACAGGATATATACATATTTATCTACAGTACTTTTGTAGTGATCATGTTTTCGTTGCACCAAAAGATAAAGTCCTGAGATTTTTCTCTGTATAATGGTTATACCATTATAAAACCTGGCGATATTTCGTTCTTTTTTGGATAAATAAACAAACATTCTGCATCCTAGTTTTTTATTCGTAAATTCAGAGTGAATATATATATATATATATAATTAGACTAGACCTAATAAATACGTCGTTATGCTTGGATATCGGAATTGATTAGAGCTTAGAAGATAAGCATACTATGTGATCATTAATCTAGTATAGAGAATTTGGAACTCAAGTATGGATACATTTTGTGCAAATTTTCTATACGAAACTATTTCTACATCTCTAATCACTCACATATAAGTCTTGGCGACTTTTAGTGAATTGTTACTGAACGACGCATCTGCATTAAGCCATGGTAAGCAAATGTTAGTGTTAAATTCAAATTCACTAAACTGAACTCATCGCAATGTACGGAAGGGATGTGACAGTTACTCAAGAATGAATGGTAATTATTAATAGCATCACTTCGGTTTTCTCAACTGCATGACTGGTCTTTAAAGTCATGGGATTGTCTTCGTGAATATCGACTAATAATTGACTACAATAACAAACAGCTCTCGAAATGGTAGCTGATCACATTCTCTTAAAACGTACATTATAAACTTGAACGACCTTTTAGAAATTAGCATGCAAGGATTATTGAAGTTACATAATAAACTTGGTGAACTATTTCCCAGATAACAAACCAAATTTCGGGTTTGACGGATTTAATAGGAATCGGAAAAATCTAGGAAGTGAAATTAATAAATACGAGATTTGTCAAACTTCAAATATTATGCTAACGTCAATTTTTAACTAACCTATATATGAAAATCATAATAAAATATGTACTCACAAAAGCAATGTATGTGAAAAAAAGAATGTTTAGTAGTGACGAAAATGGCGCTTTTGATAAAAATGAAAGCAGAATTGAATTTAAAAAAAACCGGATAGTAAAAACTGTCGAACTACAGCTATATATACACGTACACAGACACGCAAACACTGTGGGCGCTAGAACAGGAATATGACGAGGCAAGGAAATGTGGTGCATAGACTACACTACAATCATAGCCAGCAAATTATCAATCAAACAGAACGTCTTGAAGCAAGAAATGAATTAAGAAAAAATAACAAATGATACGAAAGACATCGAGATGCTACACCTGAAGTAAACAAATGTATGGAAAAGGATGACAAAAGAAATGATGCCTAGGCGCTTGAGAATATAACAACGAAACAAGTAAGAAATAACTCTACATCTTTCAATGTGACTGTTTATAGTAGAAATAGAGGGGGTGAGGGTGAATAGAGTTTGCAAAATATACATGATTACAGAATCTGGATTTGTGATGTAGTATTTTTTATGATGTAAGAAGATAAAGCAAACGGCACAAATGAATTTTTCAACAACTAACGATGATGTTACATTCCAGAGAATAAATAAGTTTATGTCTCGCAAAGAGTTAACAAGAATCAGTCAGCCGGGGGAATGATTTTTCACAATTTGGAAAGCTTGCATAGTAGGAAAAGCAGACCATATAAAGTAAGAAAGGCAAATTAAAGGAAGACAGTGAACGCAGAAAAAGCATAAATTCAGTATTTTTAATGGCTTCAGAAATTAACAGTTCAAGGAACTATTATTTGCTGCTCCTAGAATATTTCAAAAGATAATCACTTAAAAATTTACTTATTGGAACCTTTTCGTTGAGAAAGACGCAGGTAGATGTTCATAAGTAGTATGATCTGCTATATATATATATATATATATATATATATATGCTTAGACGGACAGTCTAGATTCTGGTGCAGAAGATTCAGATTCTGCGACCATAGCAGCTGCAGCAGCTAAAATCACTGCAGCACCAGTCACAGCATCGACGTTAGCTCCTGGTTCACAAAGACGTTTATCATCAACGGGATCTGTTTTCTTTTCGGACTCGCTACTTGTATTGGAAGAATTAAATATCACATTGCGATAAGCTCTTTTCGCCGCGTACCGAGGATGTTGGTAAGGATTACCACAGTTATGGTACTGAGGTGATTTCCAACTTTGTAACTCACTAGACATTTCATGTGTTGAATCATGTGGTAATCGATTACTGTCCACCTTACTTTCTACTAAAAGTGAGTGCGATTCAGTGCAATGAAGTTGTAAATGTTCACCTGAATGAGGACTAATTGTATCTGGATTAACCGGGGACGTATAGGAAATGGTAACAGGGTTATTTGTGCAGTCACCTTTTGTGTCATGCAATTGTGGAACACATGAGTGTGATGGTGACTCATCAAAAGAAGAACGATTTACGTGATTGGTACATGTCACGTTTGAAGAGGGTTCGGAACATTTCAAGGAATACGGGCTTAACCATGAAGCTTGATTTGAGTACGGTGATAGTTTAGGTGCAGTGAACACAGAACGTCTGCGTTGACGAGTTGAGCGTGGACAATCATGAAGTTGTTGTATTTCTTCTCCAAATTCAGAAGCCATATGATGCACTTCAGTGGATCTTTCACATATATTACGATCAGATTCTGAAGAAAACCGGGCCGTTGAATCTAATCCAGAAGCATCTGCAGCATCTGAACCTGAGTAGTTAGCAGACACTGAGGTCACGGCAGCTAAAACAGCTGCGGCGCATGCAGCTGTGGAGCTATTTAATCCTAAACCGCATAACTCCTTAAAGCAAAGCGCTTTAACTTTCTGAAGCTCTTCAATTAGCTGTTGATTTTGACTCTCTAAAAGACTAACTCGAGCTTCTAGACACTTCACATATTCTTTCTTCTTTCTACGACATTCCCTTGCAGCTTCTCTAAAATGAAAAAAAAGAGAAGACACTGTTGACATTTGTAATAAACAAGCTTGGTAACACAACTCAAAAACTAAAGCAAACTCTTTTGACTGTTTCCTAATGTATAGATAGTTGAGAAATCTATCAAATACAGTGAGATTAAATTATCGATACATCGATAATCACATTACACTAATGAAGACAATGATTGAGTATATTATATCCCCCTATTTCAATTTAATCACTAGGCTATTTAGAAATAACCATTACGTCACCACCGTTGCCATCATAAATTAAAGTCATCGTCATAATATCAACTACAACTAAAGTTCCTAAACGGGGTAGAAAACTAACCGATGTTTTAACACAAATATTAAATAAAGGAATGACTTTGAACCTATTTTCAAGTATCAAGCCAATAATATAAGAGCCAACACTAACGATGTTAAGGGTGTGCTTCAACAACCGTGTTAGAGTTGGTCTTACCAATTAGACGTTTTACAGAGTGAACAGTGGCCAGTTAAGTGATCGAAACAAGTCAGATTCCAGCTTGATAGTAAGGTGGTCTGAGTAGCCAAACTTTACGTCAGCAAAGTGAGATAAAATATAAATGACTAACGAAAGAAATACAGATTAGTAATTACAGTTACGGCTTCTGATCTTACATTGGTGACATCCCTGTCTCATAAATGATCCTGAAACTGTATTTACAAATCATCTGAGATTGATTCTTAATGTTAGAACGTAGGTAAAAAACACCCAACCAGAAACAAATTCCAAACAATAATATTGAGAGAAACCAATTAGGGAAATGGAGTCGTAAGAGTTACAAATCTGAGGATTAAATTAATTCTGTCAGTCATAATTAGTTTGAGCTTAATTCATTGCTTGGTTAAATAGTCAAAAACATATTATACATTCGTCTTACCATTAATTTAAACTTTACTAGGTAAGCGAAGTCAATCAGCGCTACGACAGTGGTAAAAAGAAGTAATTCATAAAATACACACTCAGCAATAGAAATATCCAGTTTAAGGAACTGTAATAATTTCAGTAGTTAGATCATGAATCAGTTGAACTGTAATAATAATACTCATGGGTCATACTTGGAGATCATACGACATCACCAAAGCACATCAACATTTTGAGGCAAAAATCTCAATATGAGCCAGTAACACTAGTGCAAAGAGGGAAACTCATGAATGTTGTATTATAAGTCAATATGATTTATGACAACTAATTAATGTCCATATGATATTAAAAATTTAACTCATTTAAATCTGATTGAAAATGAAATAACATTACCAACATACTGTAAAAATGAATACATGAATACCTGTTTTTTAAAAGACGTTGTTCGCGTTTGCGGTTTGGTTCATCAGTTTTAAAATCACACTCTGTCCCACAGTTGGTTCTTAATGACCTGCAGGAAACCGATGATCTGGAAGTAGCCCCACTTAAATCATCCATCGGTGGATTCTTCACTCTACATTCAACATTTAATGGAGAAATATTCAATTGGGGAGTTGCTGAATTAGATAATGAGGAACAACTTAGTGGTGAAGTTGGAGGACATGTAGCCAGTGCGAGTTCACTTGAAACCGACGTATGTGTAGGAGAATAATATCTTGTATTACATTTATTAGAATTTCTATCAAATGATGGGTGAACACCTAATGGATGTACCAGATGCGAATCATACTTTGGTGAAGTTTTGTAAAAAGGTTGGAAATTAGGATCTTCATAACCTCTATGAGGTACACTGGAAGAGTTTCGGGAGTTATCTACATTTTCATCAGGATCTAAAGTAGATAAATAATGCCGTGTAATTTTAGCCGGACCTTCTGAATTAACATCCATTAAGTAAGATTCATCTGAACGATTACGTTGTTCGATACAATTATCGTTCAGAAAAGAAGTTGAAATAGATGTTGACTCACGGGTTAAAGAAAAACCTTCAGGGTAATCTGGAAGAGTTGATTGCTAAAACAAGAAAAGACCAATGTAAAATTAGGGCTGGAATTAATGAAAGCTTTGAGATAAAGAGAACTAAAATAACCTAACAATTTAACGTAGAAACTTGGAGAACCATAAAACTCAATTTATCGGATCTTAGTATTATGGTAAATAGCTAAAAATAGTGGGGAAGTATAAGAGGCTGTCATGTTAAATGTTATGATTTATAAGTGGAAAGATCGACAAAAAATGTAGGTAAGCGGATTGAATTCATAATATCGAGTGATTTCTCTTACACATCGCACACTTGTAGTTTAAATGTGGACACAGTACATTTACAGTCAAAGGGAATTTTTTAAAGAAAACTTAAATGTTAATTATTTCTTTAGTTTAACTCTTCATCCATATTGCTACTTATTCTTAATACTTAATGTTAACAAGTATAGCGCACCCAAATGAGAAGCGGTGTTTGAACACGCATAAAGAATGTGCCGACAACCCCATTAATCATCAATTCCATGTCTAACATTTTCATCGCTCGCTCAGTGGTTTCAACATATGCAAACAATTATCAGAAAGAATAAGTGGCAATAGCCTACGCTTATTTTTTTAGACCTTCAAATACCAAGTTCTACAGACAAAATAATACAAAGTAGAACATTGTGCAGCATACAGATAACACAGTTAAACTACATTTGATGCAAGCTGAAAGTCCTGTATTTGTCAGACATCAACTCACAAACACAAAGTTTCTGATAAATGCAATGAAGTCGGATTTTATGAAAAATTTTGAAGCCACACATTTTCCTTGAGGGTTGGTGAAATAGTAGTAGATGAAGCACAAATCAATTTTCTAACCAAACAATCAGCAATTAAAGATTCTGAATATAAACCAGCTGACTCATTAAGCTGGATGACATCTCATTGTAAAATATACTATTCGATACAGATGATTTTTAATTTGAAACCATAAAAGTACCCGGAACACTAAGTGGCATGTAAGTAGAAAAAAGCAATCTATAGGTTACTTTAAATCCACGTTGACGGTAGGTATAACAAATGACGTTAGTGTGATTGCCTTGGTATCTACAAAATGAGCTTAAATAGTCCGACGGTATACGGTCCTCTTACGTTGCTTCAGTGCCTTGTGGATTATACCTTTTGGCCAAAGGCTCTGGGTGTGACTTCCTAACAAAACCACCTGCTTCGGTTTGGGCAACCGGGTAGTATCCCAGCCCTCACATAAATCGAATGATTTATGTGGTGCATATCTATTCGGTGCCTCCTTGTACCAATATTTATGTGTTTAAATAAATAAAAATTATGCCTACAACAGTGTACACAGTTAGCATACAACAATCAAATAATGAGAGATGCTATTGGGCCTTAAAAATTAACCACGAAAAGAAGGGAATAAACTCGTTAAGGAAGAGACTACATTTATTTATTTAGGTATTCTTCTAGCGTTTTAAGCCTAAAAGTTATTTCTTGTGTGTTGAAACTTTACATAACTGCGTTAATTCGTCATTCGTGTAGTTAAAATTGGACAAGTTTGCTAGGTAATTAGTGTCGATTTCTTGACGAAGTTGTTTAAAGCTTTGATAACAGTTAACTAATCTCCATAGTCTAGTCATTTTAGAGATAATGAGGACTGAATACTAGTAAATTAATATGGAATGACTTTTTGTAGACGATAAAAATTGAGTCAGCTAATACAGGGAAGAAAAATAATGGAGAAATTTGAACCTAGTGAAAAAAACACTTCATCTTCATTACCTTTAATATCGACTGGGACAAAAAAAATATGAACAGAGGACGTGCCTATAATGTACATAAAATTAAGGCCTTTACTTAAGGTTATCTAAACTATACATATTTTACTGTTTTGACTTCAACCATCTAGAGAGATGGTGCAACACAGTGGCTAGAGACGTTATCAGATATGGTTCAGAATAGAAGCCAGTGGCGATCATGCTGTAACCTTCTTTTACTTTCTTCGTAAAGAGTGGTTGCTTCTTCCTTAACTGAAAAATTTCTCCAGATTGTACCTTTTCGTTTCCCCCATTATTACTATTATTACACTACCTGACACTAATCTGGTCGTTATTGTTTTTTTTCTTCCCTTCTCCTTAAATTCCTCTTTTTTTTATGTGGCGCATATATATTTGGTGCCCCTTGTACCAATATTTATGTGTTCAAATAAAATAAATAATAAAATAGCTAGACAAATACAGAATCGGTATTTAAGTAATGATGATAGCTGGGTAACAGAAGAGGAAAGATTCAACAGTTAAAAATATGTAATGGTATAGTAACTGACTAGCTGTATATATACGTGAATAGAACTAATAAAGATCAAGAAAATTATTTTCACAAGATGAGAAACCAATTGAGAGAAATGAAGGAATATTTTTCGTGTAAGAACCATGGTCGATTATTTTTAAAGGAGCTCTCCTAGATACAATGCGATATCATAAGATGTCATATCTTGGAGTTTAGTAAAACAGATAACGAGCCCCGTCTTTACTTGCTACTAAAAATGACAACACAAGAAGGAATTTCAACTAAACGCATCCAAAGTTCTAAGTAGTCTATATTACATGACAAGTAAGTTGTAGTCAGTCGTTCTCCAAACTGTAAACTAACCTGACTATTGAGGAGCTGAGAATTCCCCAGATCAAGAGTAGACGTTATATTTGAAGGTAAAAAAGACAACAACTGTGGTTCTTCACTGGGAGCACTTTTTAATTCATGCCTAGGTGCTACATCCATACACACTGGATTAAGTACATTAGTGAAACATGGAGGAGCAAGTGTTGAAGAACGTCTTCTAAACACAGATGCTAGTGTAGAATGTGCAGTTAGTAATTTGGGATGTTGTTCGGAAAGGGAGATAAGATCATTCATAGCAGAATGACCAAGTAATGAACGTTGGCATTCACGAAGTTCAGAACTAGAAGAATTGCTAATTGTTGTACACGTGGATGAAGCAGCTAAAGCCAATGATAACACTGCCGCCTGAAAATTAGATGTGCTAGAACTAGCTGATGGAGATCGAGGACTGGCAATAGCTTGAGCAGCAGCTAAGGCAGCTTGTTGTGCAGCTACTGAAATCATAGATGAAGATAAAGGAGATGGTTGTGGTGATTCTAGAAGGCTTGAAGTTGAACAACGTCTTCCAGAAAAAGCCACATTATTAGATGGTGATTCATTTACAGAGCTACCGCCAGCTGCAGCTTGTATTAAAAGAGCTGCCGCTGCTGCTGCAGACATTGCAGATGGGTTATTTGTTCCGTAAGGTGACACTCCAGCGGCCATTCCTAATGCATCCAGGTTACTTCGATTATTGTTATTATTGTATGAAACTTGATGAACAGTTTCTACTTGGACTTGATCATTAAGCAGATCATCAGATACAAGATCCAATTGATCAGGATTAAGAGACATGCACGCTGTCACACGAAACTGAATAGGATTATAAGAGAGAACATGAAAAATGAAATTGCTTATAAAATGCGTTTTAGAGTAAAAAATAAAGTATGAACATAGATATTTTTAAGACTATTTATAGATGTTAATAGGATCAGCACAAAATTCATTATTATTCTGAACTACCGAAGGAATATGGTGAGATAAAGTTTAGTTGGTGTGATAAAAATGTCTGAAACTAGAAGGTATACAATAAGTTGTATAAGGTAGAAGAAAAGTATGAGCATAAAAATCCTTAAAACAAGTGCGGTATTCAGAGATCTACAATCAGTAAGTTACCACCAAATAAAACAGCATCGAAGATATATTACAACGTTACAAACAAATATCGATAAACTAATAAACAGCGACAAGACAACAAATTATTATGAGCTGTGACATGTAAATCAGGACGAATTGGAAACAATGCTATTCAGAAATGGGTTATTCAACTTTCCACAAAAGCATCTGCGTAGGACGAATATATTCAAAAACCTTGTAGTTTAACTTAACAAAAAGGCAAAGGATAACTCATGCATAAGCTATGTGGCACTGAATAAACACACCAGTTCACAAATAAAGGGAAACTTCTCGTGACTTCTACGCTCAGTGGTGTAAGAAAAGTATGGATTAGCATCATACTAAATGAACGGTAAAGCAAGTGTTGTGTATGTTATTTACTACAAACGTTTACACGTTATCAAGTGTTTATATCGTCCAGATTTAGAAATAAATGACTAATCAAACGGACCTGTTATGAGTAATAAATGTAATTTCACTAATAAAATGAGATATTATAGGTAGGAAATATCATACAATGGTGTATGAGTTTGAAAAAAATTAAAAGTTAGCGAGAAAGTGGTTGATAGAAGTATTTTTACACATTTTACTGTAAGTAAACCGTTTGACAGTTATTTTCATCAACATACTGTATATGTAGGTAAAAACGATTGTGATTAAAGTTTAAGACATTTTTGATTACTTTAAAACCGAATGAACTCTTGATCAATCACAAACTAGTCGCCAAAGTGGTTGAATCTCAAGTTTCGCCTAGTACAAAATACTGAACACGAGTGATATAGAAACCAGACCACTTTAAACATATTTCCAATGTGAATTGAAAGTAGGGATGCAAGAAATATTTGACAATTAGAAATGGATTATTTGAACTTTTTGGTGTTGAATACAGGTGCTAGAGAGATATTGGTTTCATTTGCACGAACATGTAAGGGTTATTGAATATCATATAAATCAATGATTCTGGATGGGATTTCATGGAAATCAACAAGTAATAATTCATCTAACTCACCTTCTATGGGATTCTGTAAGCATTAACGAACAAAATAACGCCCAGGATAATCGGATAGGGAAAACCAAAACGAATCATCTAATCCTAGATATGGCTGGTAAGTGTATTCACAATGGCAAAAACCTGAAATATAGCAAATACTAACATTGTGATGTAAACATAATATCAGTAAACGATAGTGCAGAACAACTGAGAGATTAGTGTATGGCGGTATCGTGGAGGATAAAATGGAGGCGCAAGCACCTTTAGGCGGATAAAAACATCATGTATGTGTGAGTAATATAGTGCGGTACTTCTAGTTAACTAATATTTCTAATTCAAGTAGTGAATTTGTGAGTATTCTCCGCATACACAAATTACACTTTAGAGGGTATAGTGAGCAAACGATAAGTTTCTTAAACTGATGGCAAGGATGTCAGGTCCTCAAAATATGACATGATCCTTCCCCACTAGACTTTTTTCTTAAAAGTATTTAGTTGTAATTATTTGTGCTTTACGGAATGGTATTCCCAACTAGCTGTAACCTCGTTTAGAATTATATAACAATAGGTTTTAATTACTAAAATTATAGAACTTCATACAGAAATCTATGCCGTCTCTAAACTCTCTACCCAGAAGAAGTGGTTATTCATTTGATCATACCAAAGTAGTGTGAAAAACCAGCACGATTAGTTTTTTTAATTAACTGTAAAACTCAATAACAACTTTCCATAGTTTAGTAAGTGCATGTGTAGCATAAATTTCGGAACCAGGAGATTGTATTACGCCTAGAGGTCACTTGTGTGACCTCTGATTGGATGAAGATGTACAAACCGGGAAATATGTAGGCACACGATGCCTTCGGTTTTCAATTTGTCTAAGCACTCACTGCTTGTAGCTTAGGTAGAGCAAAAGATATATCTCGTCGAAAGTAGTGTAAAAGCTTTTGAATGTCGAGAGGTTCAGAAGCAACAATTGTAGAAAATTTCAAGACCCAATTAGGTAGGGTAAGCATATTAAAAAGAGAAACCTGCGCAGAATTTTCGATATTCAAGCCCGGTGACGGTAACTTTGTTTCGACAACCACTTGCTTCCAAAAAATACTAACTCCAAACAATTGGATATATTTGTAAATGGTAATTGTCAATCAACAAACAGTGGACGCGAAAAGATCATATAGGTAAATCGCTGCCGAAGAGTACCCAAGGAATATTGTCGATCTTTTCGGATCAAATGTCTAGTGTATTACTTGACACCAAAAAGTTGCACCAGGAACACTCCCGTTTGCACTTAAGGATGGAAACGTTACAATTTTATTTAAAGAATTACTTAGGGATAGCTAGATATAGTTTTTAGTCTGTTGCTAAGTCAGAGGTTACGTTTAGTAGAGACTTAAATGAAAGGCTTGGTAAAGATCAGTGGACTTTTGCACCCTTCGTAGAATTAATGGCAACTTGGAAATTTATTTATGCAGGGTCCACAAAAACACAAGAATCAAGAGATTTATAAAAATTCGACACAAAGTACGTTAGTGGAGGGTAATAAAAACAAGGGGTGGGAAACAGAGGCAACAAGCAACATTAAAAAGTTGTTTAGAATTATCAAGGAAATTTGGATTGAAAAATTGGGAGTTGGTCAATCAACTCAGAGCTTAAGTTGCCATAGTTCAGGACCTAGAACTGACCTACTTGAAGACTCTCATACAGAGGTCGAAGACATGAGTAGTTTGATAATGCTTGAGTGTAGATGTTCACATAGCGCTAGCCACTTAAATTGGAATAACCGAGTGAAAAATTCTGGGGTTACGGACGGAGTACTAAATAAACGTAGAAAATCAAATGATGAAGTTGTGAATCCATAACATCTAAGGTAATTGTAATAAATGGTGTAATGCCTGAAAATTGCGTGGTAAATACCAGCTAACAAAGTCATTTGAAGAGACCAGTGGTGATGTAACCTAAATATGACATATGTTTATGAAGAAGTTACAGACTAACAATACTTTTGTATTGATTAAGTACCAAATTTCAGGCAATTTACATTTAACTGAAGGCCCAGATAAGCTTGAAACCAACTAGTCATACTCATCAAAGAGCTTGAGACAGATGTCTATTGGCCTAAGTTGCCATAACACAAAAGGACGAAGAGATTAAATTAACAAAACGAATGGCAAAAGAGTCGACATAATTATAATAGGAATGATACTGATAAATACTGATGATTGAGAATATGGATCGTGGAGACAGAGTTAAAAGATATCAGTGAAGGAACATTTGATTTGAAAATCTACAGGAAGAAAAAGATTGAATACATTTGGGACACCAACCCATTTTGAGTCATGCCAATCAACGTCTCGAACTACTGATTGTGGCTATTGCACAAACCTTAACCAGATAGTCGGCAACCATTAATATGGTTGAGACCAACAGTCAATGATTTTATGGACTGATCCCTCTAATACTGATCTATTTTTATAGACTATGTTGCATGGCTAAATATTAAAAAGCAGATTAATGAGCAGTATATGCTTTCTTTGGTTGGTAAACAGATATTTCGCTCACGCGACAGGTGACGCGAGTTAGCAGAAGTCAAGTGGGCTTTTTGAATCTGTGGGGTTTTTTTTAAAAAGCCGAACCACGGTTGATAAAGCTTTCAAGATAGCTGGAATGATCAGCATACTAAACCACTGACTAATTAATGACCCAGACCGATCCTGAAGCAAGCTTGTAGATATTCAGTTCACTATATCTAAGTGCTAAGTTTTCTACACGTACGATTGATGTTGCGGTTAGCCCATATAGGGGGATGGGTGTGTTATATGTACTAAGACGGTGTGCAAATATGATATAATCCAAACCAACAGAAAATAGGTTACCGAGAATAGTGTGCCATGTATTTACTAACTAACAAAATATAAACACGAACTAAATATTGTTGTGAATAACTTTCCTCCTATTATATCGAAGAGAAAATCGTAAGGAATAATTGCTGATTTTCATTCAAGAGCACAGACGAGCCTTCTGACCACCTTTAACAGTTTATCAATTTATAAGATCGAATTCCACAAGAAATAATTCAGATTTCGAAGGTGTAAAGTGTATATAGAACTTACTTGGGGAGGGGGATCGCTAATTAAGTGCCACTGAGGGTGGCTAACCCATTAACCCACAGTAGCATTGCCATCCGCTTACTTAAAGTAGAAAAACTAGGTAATAAATCTACATCAATAAACACTTGCTTTACAGTCGTTTATGTAATTTCATTGATGACAAAACTAAAGGGAAGTAGAGAGATTAACCAAAGCCTACTAAAAGTTGAGAAAGGGATTAGTGATTAAAACACTCAACCCCGGACCATAAAGTTGCAAGTCCGAACACCACAACATCGACTTGGGTTCAGCTGTCAAAGTGTTGCTAGCCCTCATGCTATCAGGTTGATTTTGAGTACTTGGTAAACGTTACATTAGTAACCAATGACTATTAATGGTGGGGTACTTTATTTGTTTAAACACATAAATATTGGTACAAGGAAGCACCGAATAGATATGCACCACATAAATCATTCGATTTGTGTGAGGGCTGGGATACTACCCGGGTGCCCAAACCGAAACAGGTGGTTTTGTTAGGAAGTCACAACCAGAGCCTTTGGCCAAAAGGTATAATCCACAAGGCACTGAAGCAACGTAAGGGCA